CACCCTTGACTTCTTTACTAGGGTTTCATGCCTCCTTACATGCAAGAGGCTCAACTTGTAGTCTTCCTTGCATTGGGCTAAGGTCTGCATCTCTTGGGCTTGACTCTTCATGAGTTTGGATCTTAAATACATTATACACGTATAGATGCTCTCCTTTGGACTTGAGCGGAGTGCCCCAATGCTCTCCAAGCTCTTGAACTTCTTGCACAAGACTGAACAAGGCTTGCTTCATGGCTTTGGTTCGGGCTCTTGTCATTGGACCTCCAATATGTTGCAATGGGTCTTTAGGTACGTTGGATTGGAAGTATTGGGCTCCTTTTATGTCACCATGCTCATGATTACCATCCTCAGGCTTCGTTGCCATTAATGCTATGTCACCCGTGCCATGGGGTCCATCATCTACTCAACCCTGCCCATATGTAGCCCTACTACCAGGTGACCACAAATTTTGAAAAAGTGGCATTTTGATATAAAAAATAAGTAATAGGTTATTCTATTCAAGACCCATTGGACCAGTCCTCTTACCAGTGAATTAAGGGGAAAAAATTCCCTGCTAGTGTTTATAAATATTACTCGGATATCAATAATCTTTTTTATTGGATATTTTAATATATTTAAGTATTTTTGCTTTTCACAATTGAATATTTATCATTCAATTCTACCTTCTTAAAATTAAGATTTTTTTATTTATCAATGTGTTTTATATTTTTAATGTAATTCTTCTAAAAAATTAGAATTTTAAGTTTAATATTTTTTTCTAAAAATATCAAATTAATCACAAAAATATATACAAGAAAACTCACATTCATTTTTGTCATTATATATCGCAACAGGCTTTTGAATCAAATTATCTAAATAAATTTTAGTTTATCCAACTAACTTTAAAAAAAATGTATTCAAATATAAATTACGTTATAATTACAAACTTTTCTCCCAATCTCCATGTGCTAACCTTAGTTGAGTTCTAACTTCAGTTATAAATTTTTTTTAATTCAAACACACACTTATTTGATTACTTTTGAATTTCTGGAAGAGATAGTGAGAGCAAGCCATTGTTAAATACGGTGGGAAGGAGAAATCAATTTTTTTAGAAAATTAATTATTTGATCATATAGCTTTATTTGTAACAGCCCTCCTCGAGATCTCACCGTCACCCGAGGCGCTGGACACTCTCCCCCCAGGCCCCACAACAGGGCGACCTCACCCCTTACAGTGAGCATCAGGAGACAAAGGCTTCCCCGCAGTAGTGTGCAGGATTATTCCCCTTGCAGAGAGCCTCCCCAGGTTCGATCTTCCAACCTCTCATACATAATAAAGTTGAGGCTGAACCTGATACCATTGAACCTCTCCTGATGCTCACCGTAAGGAGTGGGTTCGTCCTGTTGTGGGGCCTGGGGGGAGAGTGTCCAGCGCCTCGGGTGACGGTGAGATCCCGAGGAGGGCTGTTACATTAAAAGGTGCGGTTCAATGGTACCAGGTTCAGCCTCAACTTTGTTATGTAAGAGAAGTTGGAGGATCGAACCTGGGGAGGCTCTCCGCAAGGGGAATAATCCTGCACACTACTGCGAGAAAGCCTTTGTCTCCTGATGCTCACCGTAAGGGGTGGGGTCGCCCTGTTGTGGGGCCTGGGGGAAGAGTGTCCAGCGCCTCGGGTGACGGTGAGATCTTGAGGAGGGCTGTTATATTATTAATAAAAAAATCATGTTGAAGAAAGTTACTTTCAATATTTTTTTGACTTGACAAGATAGAAAGTGAAAATATTTGAATCTGGTGTAGTAGTCCCCAATTCCTACAAAATGTATTAAAAATATTTACCTTTCTCCTGGCAACAAAATGGACGTGCATAATTTTGTTTAATTCCACTACTTAATGTTGAAGGAATACATAAAACAGAGGGGAAGTGTTATTAAAGGATTAAAAAGATTGAATTAAACTTAAATAAAATTTTTGGAAATTTAAAATAAGGATTAAAGGTCTTTCAATGAATTGGTCTAAAAAATTGATACTTTCATTTCATGATTTCCAGCTCTCAAAACAAAAAATTATAAGAGATATTGCTAATCTATAAAAAAGCTTGTCAAATATATCATTGCTTGAAAATCATTTTCCTTCACAAATTAACAAATTTTACTTGTACATTCATGTTTGGCGATTGCATATAAAAGAATGGGAGTATCAAACTACTGAAAATGATGATATGTTTGACAGTTTTTTTCTATATAAATTAATAAATTCTACTTGCAAATACTTGTTTTAATGGTTGCAATTCATAGAGTGTGAGTACTAAATTTGTAAACCAATCTACTAAAAGATTTTTTATCCTTATATTTTGAACTTCTAAATCGTTTGATCATTATTTAAATTTAATTCAATCTTTTAATTGTTAATGTCATTTTCCCTAAAATTAAAAGTGAGATTTTACAGTCACCTCATATAATTTATCATTTTCAAATATTTATTTCAGTGATAATGACAGTGGCAATAATAGTTAAGTATGAGTTTTTCTCGTAAGGAAATTATTGTTTGGCACAAGAGTTGAGTGAAATAATAATAATCAAGTCTGCCAATGATTATTAATAAAGACGATGGCCTATCTGCTTGTAGTTGGAAATAAGAGAAATGAAATGTAATTGATTTTTGCTAAAAAAAAAAAGAAATGCAATTGATTACAAAAGAGAATAAAAATGGACTGAATTATCTAATAATTTATGCTAAATGTAAAAAAAACTTAAGGTCTTGTTTGGTTATTAGAAAGGGACATAATGAAATTGATTAAAAAATTAAGATAAAAATGAATTAAATCATCATTCCTCTCATGATAAGCATGATAAAAAATTTTAATATGCATTACGAATGTGAGAATTATCATACTTTCTAAAAATATTATAAATCATAATTTTTAACCTCATGAATTAAATTATTTATTCTCCCTTAGAATGTTCCCACCAATCCCCTTTCATCATCTTATTTTTACTTTAATTTTTTCAACCAATTCCATTTCATTTCTTTAGAGTTAATAATTCAGGCTAAGCTTGATGGGTTAATCCAAACCTACCAAAAAAAGTTATGGCTAAACTTGACTATATGAGCTTTTTTAACAATGTAGATTATTTTAAGCCCAATTCAAATTGAGCTTGATCTGAATAAGCTCGATTATTGAAATTACTGACTCTATATGTATGTATAGTTGGTAATTTTAGCTAAGTTTGACAGGGCCGGCTTGAATTCGACCTAAAAGTTAAGGTTAAATTTGATTATATGAATTTTTTAAAATAATGACTCCTCATGATGAACTACAATATCACATCATGATATATTTTTATCATTAATTTTTCAACCAGTTCCATTCTATTCATCTCGGTAAGCAACGGGTCTATGATAAAGATTTGGACTTATGTGGAGAAAGATGAATTATGTTTTGATCTGTTGGGGGGGGGGGGGTGGGAATCCTAAAATATTATTCCTCCCATTTTAAATGCATAAGCTAGTAAATTAATTTATATAATTTAAAAATAAAAAATTTATTTTTTCAAAGATAGGTTAGATTTTTAAAATATGTTTTAACCTTTCATTTAATTCTTATCAAGATATTCATTTATTTTAGTTTATAATTTTTTTGGAAATGATTTGATATCTTAAAATATAAGATACTTTGGTAAAAATAAAATTTTATTAATTATACTTGCATTAATGTTACCTTCCCTTTTATTATATTTTTCTCTTTATTTAATATTTTTTAAATAAGATAATATTAAATGAAATGTATTTTAAAATTTTTTATTCTAGAGACTAGTTTATTTAACTCATAAACACTATCTCCATCTTTATATATGATATTTTTTAAAAATTTATTTTTTATTTCAATATAAGAGGTGGCATTGATATTTTTAAATAATTAAATATTTTATTTTATATTAAAAAATAAAATAAATTATTACTTGTATATTTTTCCTACTATCATTACGATATTATTAAATATAAAATAAAAATTATTGTATTTTTTACATAAATTTAATTAAATAACAAACTTGTATTAATATATAAAATTTAATTAAAAATATTTTATATATAAAAACAGGTAAAGTAAGAAAACAGTTTATTTATTGCCAGGTGTTAAGATTGAGTTCTCCCGCGTAAGGTAATCGGATATATCGTTACCGTCACGCCGCTTCGTCTCAGACACTTATTGGCGCTTCCGGGAGAATGATGGGTTCATGTTGAAATGGCCTCATCCACTGCCACCATTTCTTCTATTTCTCCGATTCCAGTTCGTTCCTTTCCAATTTCAAGTCCCAAGGTAAGCCTTGTTCCTCCTCTTTCTCTTCACTCTTTGGTTCCCATGAAACCTAGATCCGACTTGAAGCGCATTGCTCCACATCGTGATCCTACTCCATGAGTATTTATTAAGAAAATAAATTAAATCTCTAATTTGCTTATAGTACGCACGTATTGTGATCCTCCTGTGTGGCGAAGCTTCTTACATGCTTGTAATTGTTTTCCCTGATTGTTTATTTGAATTTGTAGGTTGTCAATTCGGGAACACCTTCACTGAAGCTTGATGAGTTTATTAGCATGCGAGGAATTACTGCTTCTAGGATACCTAGACTTCGTAGATTATCTGTTTTTTCTGTGTTGGGAGATGGTAGTGCGTCTTCTAAGAAGACTGATGTGCCTTTCCCTACGATTACGCGAGCTTCTGGAACAAGTAAGTTTCAATCCCTCACTCGTATGAAATATCGAATAAACTGACTATTTCGTCTCATAATATAATATCATTTAGCTTTTAGTTCTTGAAATGAATTGCGTATGAGTGATTTTATGATAGTAATAAGACCATTCGAATCCTTTGAAAGACTAAAATTAGGCCTAACCATGCAAGGTCGCTACTAAATTTTGTCGAATATAGGAGTTGCATAATGAATTTAAGTTTAAATTTGATAGCTGATTGTGAGGTGATTATTGCTTGTCCAGACTAATGTAAAATTTATGGCTTCTCTGCCATGTTCACGCAGAGAGAGATGCTGTTGGAACACTAAAAATTTGTGTCTGTCTTTGTAATTCAACCAACAGGCTATTAGAGTAGCAGTTGAACTGGCCATGAAGAATAACAAACAGCTAATGGTGAGTTACACAAGGTTTTTTAATTCATTGTTAATCAAGAATGAGAGTTGCACACACGAAAGGAGGGGAGTATTATAAGGTAGTAATGAACAACAATCTTATACAGGAGATTGAATTCCCCACAGCTGGACTTCAGTCTGTGCCAGGTTCTTCTCACCTATGATATTTTAAGTTTCCTTTTTGCTATTTAATCAAGTTTTATTGAATTTTCAATTTTCCCCTTTGCTACCATTTGTTTGTGGATTAATTTTTCCCATTTTGACAATATCAGGTGATGGCGAAGGCGGAATAGAGATGACTGAGAGTATGCAATTGATTCGAGAATTTTGTGACCGCTTCATTAGCCCAGAGAAAGCCTCACGAACAAGAATAGTAATCTTCTAGATTCTGAGCAGCATTCTTCATTGTGCCCAAGGGCATCCTTATAAAATAATGCCTTTTTTCTGCACATAAAAGCACTGCTCCTTGCATTTATGTCACTTTAACTTGGAAGTTTATTCTAGAGTAACTTTGCCTTTAGACCACTATTCAGAGCTCATGACGTTAATTATGTCTCTACACCATAGATTTTATCCTTAGGGCACTACCGCTTTCATTGGTTCAAGTGGCTCTGAAGCTATCATTTATGGAGTCTCGTCTTTCTTCATTTGTGTATCTACAAATTTTATGCCGCCTTTCAAAGTCTGTCTTGTTCTGTTGAGATGGTTAGATAAAAGCTGTTGTCGTACCCCAGTTTCATATTCCTGTGTGAAATTGACGAATACAAACTTGTCAAAATCAGTTTTTTCCAGAGGCTAGCGAAGTTAAATTTGCCAGACAATCAGTCTTTGCTGGAGCTTCTTTTAAGTTGGACTATCTGACAAAGCCATCATTTTTTCAAGATTTTGGTTTATTTGAGAAAGTGAAAATGGCAGATAGAGTGAAGCCAGCAGATGAAGTTTTCTTGGTGGCTTATCCGTATTTTAATGTCAATGGTAGATCCAAACTTCGTTTATTTTTCTTGATACTCGTAATGGAAGCTTCATGACTGCTCCATTCTATTTCAGAAATGCTTGTGGTGGAAGAACTTTACAAAGAGGCAGTCTTGAACACTGCAAGGAAACTGATCATTTTTAATGGAGAACTCGATCGTATAAGATCGGGGTGTATCCTTTGACAAATTACAATGCCCTTTTATATTTTGAACTGGTCTCACCTTTCCCTATCCAGCTTCTATTAAGGATTTTCTTGGTAAAAAAATCTGTCATGCATTGTTGTGGAACTAAATAATGAAGCAATAGACCAACTCTTCAAATCAGATCTTTATATTCATGTTATGTGTTCGAAAAGAGAAATGGAATAATATGGATATAGAAGATCTGGATTTCAAGATCGTTGGTTCATGTGATATTTCACCAAGACTTGAGTGCCAACGAACTACTTGTATTTGGGTTTGATCCCTATCCCATCCCTTTTTTGACTCCAAAATGATTAAAACAGAGGAAAGGTGGCAGAGGGTGCTTAGCATCATATGGTTTAATTGAGTGAAAGAAACTTGATTGTCCTTGAATGTATGAAAAGATTATCCATCATTTTTCTATCCAAAACTTGCTGCACTTAATAAGACCCTCCTGCCTGTGATGGAAACCGTGTATTACATTCATAATTTCAAGGGCCGCAATGGAGGAACGCTCTTCAGGTCTGGCAGCTACTTGAATTGCATTTTATCCTTAGTAGGTTGTTAATGTTAACATTGCAATGTTCTTGTGAATCATTATGATCCTGCAAGAAGAGAGAGAGGAAATTTCTGACAATGATATTGTTACACTGTTAGATTGGTCGATTTTCCAATATTTGCTTCATATGCCAGACCTTTTTAAATCGCAGGGTTGAAATGCTCAAGTCACTAATTTATTATGAACTTGCTGTATTTTAAATAGGTGCTATCCAGGACCCTGGAAGGTCCTCAGAAGCGTGGGGAATAAATTTATGTGTGTACATCAGCAGGATGATATGCCATCCCTTAAGGAAGTTGCTCTTGAAATTCTTCCGTCAGCTTGAGATTCCAGCAATTGCAAGGCATGGATCCACATCAAAAGTCAAAGAAATATGAATGGCCTCAATTGCAGCACAGTTTATTGGGTCCCTTTTAACGGCACAAGCCTTAGCAACAAAGTAACCGCAATACTATTTAAAATTGGTCCTCCTCTATTTATAGAATAGGAATGTGTGATAAATACCTTAAGTTATCCCTTGTCTCAATTTCTTAACTTTCTGGCCAAAAAAAAAAAAAATCTTAACTACTAGAACGATTCTGATATGGTCCTGATGTTAAATCCTTACTACACTCCTAGTCGTTTTTCCTAGCCCACTAAGAATCTGAGCCCTTCTCTTTATTTTTTTAAAGAGACAAACAAGTGATTGTTGGCCCACTAACAATCTGAAAGAGCCCTTCTCCAGGTTGGCATGATTTCTTAGGGGATTTTTGGCCCACTCAACAAAAATAAAACAATCTCATTTCAACATTGTGCAATTGTACGTTTCATTTTTATAATTTTTTATTTTCAATAATATTATAATATAACATTTCACTTGACAAAAAAATTTAAAAATATCATTTCATAATTTTTTTCATAATCATAACGAAATAATTTCTTAACAAGATTCACAAATTTTTTCAATAAAACATACAATTAATGTGAAGCAACACTAATTATAAATTAAAGCATGATTATTTTGTGACTTTATTAATAAATTATTCTTTATAATGTTTTTTTACCACAATTTTCATCAATAAAAACAATTTACACATGCATAGTATTGTAATATATAGTTTGAAAAAGAATAAAACAACTCTAATTTTAAAGTTAGAAGAGATAACTTACACTTTTAATTTATTATGTACCATTTCGAAAGGGAGGAGAACGAATTAAAATTCTAACATTCTGGGAAACATTAATAAGTAAGGAGCATCTAATTTATAATTTTTTTAGTATCATCATTTTCTTTTTTTTTTCATTCTATAAATTCACTCAAAATATCCCTAAATAAAAAATTTGTCTCATGGCCACAAATCATCATTCTAACACCTTACAATCATTTTAAATTCAAAAAAATTCTTAATCATTACAAAGAAATCTCAATTTTTTCTAAACTTTATTTTTTAAAAAAATTTCAATTCACTACCATAAATAAATTTCTCCATCCTTATTACATTTTATCACTCTATAACCTCATTTCACTCATTATAGGTATTAAACAATGATAATTTTTCCAAATCATCCTTAATTTTAAAATTCCAACATCTATAATACCTACAAAAATCACTAATATTCACATTCAATCATAAAACTCAAAACCAATTCATTTAATCATTATATAACCTTCATTAAACCAAAATAGATAATTAAATTCAAATAAAACACCACAAAATTTATGCATCACAATTTTTTCAATTAAAACTTAACCTTAATCTCTCAAATTAACAATTTGGATAAATCTAAACCACACAGACTATTGTTCAAACATCAATCCACTAAACTAAACAATCAATTGAAATATGCATAAGTTCAAAGTATACCAAATTTAAGTTTTTTACAGTCAAGAAATTAAAATTTAAAGAGACTATGTGGCTAAAAAAAATATTCAGAGCACTCATATAGTTTGAAAAAACTTAAAATCTCATTCAAAATATCTTATAATAGAGTTTTGAACCAAAAATCACTCCCACGATCGCTGCGCACGCTCACTCTATCCTTTTCTTTTCCTCTGTTCGACGGTGCGGAGGAATAAAGAGGAGAGAAGGGGTATGGTGGGTTTTGAAATTTGGATGTGTGTCCCACGACACCCATAATTTCTTCTTCTTTTCTTTTTTTATGCTCCCTCAACTCAAATCTTCTGCCTCTTCTTATCCCTTGTTTTCCCCCGCTCCTCTTTCTTCGTCACTCATTCATTTCTATTCTCTATTCTTTCTCTTTTTTCACATTCATCATGTTCCTAATTTGTTTTTCTTCCACTTGCTTTCAAAAATCATGTACCATGATATTATAAATTATCAAATTATCTTTCATAATTTTCTATAATTTTCCAAGACTTTCATAAAATCCCAAGGGCTAAATATTTAATTTTTATATTTTTCTTGAATATAATTTTAATAATATTTATATAATTAGAAATACTCAAGTGTAAAAGTAATTTACATAGCTTAATTTAATCCCCCTTAACCTTATTAACTCTCATTTTTTAAAAAATTATGTATTGGAATTAAGACCTTAAAATTTAGCTCAGATAATTACATGATAATTTCTAATTACCATAAAATAATTCCTTTGTATTGTTACTTAATTCCTAAAAATAAAAATTGGGATGTTACAGTTAATTTTAATTGAAAAAATCTGATCCATATTTAGAAATGAGTTGTTCCCAGTATGAAATTAAAATTCATTTGTGAAACTTTAAGTAGTTATAAATATAGATAATCACTTGAAAATTTAGCTAAACTAATCACTTATAAATTTTTATATTTATTAATATATAGGTAAATCACTTAAAAAATTAAAAAAGACACTACTAAAATTACTATTATGAGTTGAACTTATTGTTAATCACATTTCCAACATGAATCCTAATTTTTTTAATTAAGATTAATAACAAATCTCAACTCATAATAGTAATCAAAGATAATTTTGTAAACTCATTTTTTTTTTAAAAGTAAAAATCATGATTCATTATTGAAATTTTAATAATTTAAAATTTTTAATTATAATTAATGGCCATGTGCGATATTTAATTGTCATTTTCCCCAGATTCTATGCATAAAATCCCACGAAAAAGAAAACGCAGGTACAGCATGCACGAAAAGAAATAGAGCATTGCTGCAAAAATAAAAGTCATAATAAAATAAAATATAGGGAGGATTTCAGTTAAGGATCTCAAAAAAAATTTAATTTCAAGTGAATTTAAAAATATTTTAAAATTTCAATTCAATACAAAGAAAATAAAAAATATTTAATAATATAAAGATTAAAATACCTTTCATGTATTAAAACTGTATGAGATATTGGTTCGAGCCCATTACTACGTTAAAGTCTATTTCATTTGTAATAGAATGTGGTTGAATTATTGTAATTTCTTTGACTACAAAAAGAAAGGTCGAAGTCTTTGTAATTGTATCATAGGAGAATAAACATTTTGACTTTTCTTTCTCATTGTTTTATAGTTATTTGATATTATTAATTTATCAATATTACTTATAAATTATATTTTAAATAATTAATAATATTAATTATTAATTTATTAATTTTATTTATTAATTTATTAATATTAGTATCGATTGTCAATAATTTATAATTAATATTAATAAATTATAAAATTTGTTAATATTGATGTTCATAAATTAACAAATAAAATTAATATTTAATAATTGATATTGTTATTTATGATTGAAAAATTGATGTTAAATTTTATACAATTATTAACATATCAACTTATAAAATTTATAACTCATATTTATAAATTAATAAATAAAATAAAAAAATTAATAATTAATAATTTAATGTAATATTTTAATATTTTTACCGTTAAAATGTTTTTGATTTTTTATTTGAATTGAATTAAAATTTTAAAATATTTTTAAATCTATCTGAAATTAAGTCTAATGCCAGAGCTTAATTGAAATTCTTCCTAAAATATAAGTGGTCCTAATTTATCGATCAAAAAACAATAGTGAAAGCGCACGAAGATAAAGTTTCGTTAAGAGGCCGTCCAGGTCTGATTGTTCATCCGAAGAGACCAATAACCTCATTCATACGAGAAGCTCATAAAGTTGCTGCTTCCTACCTCTTTTTCTTCATCACGAAGCCAAACCAAAGCAAGTAAAGAACCCAGTTTCCATAATTTGCTTTTCCTCACACCTAACGGTCAAAAAGTTCCTCAATTCTACCAGTAAAACCCCATCGTCGTCTTCTTCCCTCATCTCCTTCCTATAAAGTTCGCTGTCTCAGAATCAGAACTCATCGCTCTGAACCTTGTAACAACATGTCGGTTGACATTTGGGTGGTACCCTTCGTCGGCCAGGGCCATCTTCTCCCCACCATTGAGCTATGCAAGCATCTTGTTTCCAGAAATGTCAAGGTCACTCTCGTCATTTCCTCCAACCTCTCCTCCTTCCTTCCCTCGTCTCTCCACCAATACTCTTTACTTCACGTCGCGGAAATTCCAGCCGCTCCCATGCCTCCACCGGAACAGGGCTCGCACCCATTTCACTCCATTCACAAAATTCAAGGCTACTATTTTCAACAGCTTCAAAACCTTCTCTCTGCCCAACTCGATAACTCAGCAAGGCGCACTGTTGCCATCGTCGACGTCATGATGAGTTGGATCCTCGAGGCTTTCAACAAATTCCATGTGCCCAGGGTGGCGTTCTTCACTTCCGGCGCGTGCTCTGCCGCCTTGGAGTATGCAATCTGGAAAGCCCACCCGGAAGACCTAAAACCCGACGAGATCCGATTACTTCCTGGGTTACCCCAAGAAATGGCTCTAACGCTTTCGGATCTTCAACAGGGACCTCACGGCCCGCCACCGCTACCACCACCAGGCGTCGGAGCTTCTTTACCTCCCCCTCCCGGTGGGCCAGGGCACATGGGACCGCCCCCTCCCGGTGGACCAGGACGCATGGGACCGCCCCCTCCCGGGGGCCAACCACCATGGGTGGAAGAGGTTCGCGAAGCCATCGCGTTGCTGTTCAACACGTGTAGCGATCTGGAGGCACCTTTTATCGACTACGTAGCGAACCAAACTGGCAAACCGATCTGGGGCGTTGGTCCGCTGCTCCCGGAAAAATATTGGAAATCGGCCGGTTCCCTCCTCCACGATCGGGAGATTCGAACGAACCGTCGGTCTAGCATCACGGAAGATGAGGTGGTCCAATGGTTGGATTCAAAGCCACGAGGCTCAGTACTGTACGTGTCATTTGGAAGCGAGGTGGGCCCTACAATGGAGGAGTATCCACGGCTAGCCGGAGCTCTGGAGTCATCGGACCAACCATTTATATGGGTTCTCCAACCCGGGGCGGGCAGGATGGGTCCGCCTCCTGAGATGGTGGGAAGTAAACCCGGGTCGGATGAACCTGAATCAGAAGGGTATTTTCCACACGGGATGGACAGTCGGGTCGGACGAAGGGGCTTGATAATACGCGGGTGGGCTCCACAGCTCTTGATACTGAGTCACCCATCAACAGGTGGGTTCTTGTCCCACTGTGGGTGGAACTCCACAGTGGAGGCCCTAGGACGTGGGGTCCCATTTTTGGCATGGCCCATAAGGGGCGACCAATACCATGATGCCAAGTTGGTGGTGCAGCACCTTAAGGTGGGGTACAAAGTATCTGATAATCTGGCAGAGGTGAAGAAAGATGATATAGTGAAGGGAATAGAGAGGTTGATGGGAGATAAAGAAATGAAGAGGAGAGCTGAGAAATTGAGCGAGAAGTTTCAGCATGGCTTCCCGAGTAGTTCTCAGGCTGCTTTGGATGCTTTCAAAGATTATGTGAACCAGAAATTGCTTTAGGTTTGTGTACGCGTCTTTAACATACGATATGTTCAGAGTCTATGGTGAGAAAATGAAAATGTTATTTAAAGTTTTTCACTGACACGAAAATTGTTCGCAACCATGGCATTCGCGTCTAGATCCAAATTATTAATAATAATAAAAAACGTCACTTTTTGACATCTTAGGGGAAAGTTTGTTGATTATGCGATCCGTTGTAGGAAATTGACTGTGGAAACTGGTGAATAATTTATTCTCGCAAAAGCAAATATTCGACACGTATCACACTATTCGCTAGCATATTCATGATGAAATAAAGGAGGGAGGCAGCAACAGTTGACATCGTACTCCATTAATGTTTTTTTTTTTTTTGGCCGAGTACCCCATTAAGTTAGAATCGTGGAAAATTCAAAGAAGCTGCGCGCGTATCGTTTATGTGCACAAGATTTTACTAACAAAGGCATGACATGACCGCTCACTGATTACGACTAGTACTTGAAATTTACAAATTAAAAATCACAGATTTCTCATGTATCAGTTGAAAATTAATGCTCTTAAATCAAAACTTCGTGAAAGATGTAAAGAACTAAATCTTCTTATATGAAAAAGGAACTGAATCTAAATATAATCCATGAACCGAAAGAGAGGGACTTTCTTTTCCTTTAATCATTTCATGGTGAAACCCAATCAGATTACACTGAACCTACCCAAATCCCAGAAAGAATAGAACTAAAAATGGTACAAATTGATATTGGAAACAAATGATTTTGTGCAAACGTCTTGTTGATCACTCATGATGGATCTGAATCCAGCTTAGGGACTATAGCAGATGAGAGCTCTAAATGGGAAATGCGAACAGCGCCAATAAGCCGCTCTGGCAACTCATCAGTAGTATTTGCCTGAAATTAATAGCTTACATTAATAGCTACGCCAACATCTCGCAGGACACCGCTGAATGCATGGATGAAACTTGTGAAGTACTGAAGTCCTTGGGCAGATATACAATTTTACACAGACTAAGGAATCAAGTTGAAATAAGCTATAATACTTTCAAGGTATCTGGAAAATCATCAGGAAGGATATTTAGGGGAAAAAACTAGTGTTTTAGACAAAGGATCTTATATTGAGAATCATGAGGAAGGGTTTTCTAACAAGGACTGGAGGGAGTGCCATGATCATTTTCATTCATCTCTCGTGCACACAGTCATGCATGCTATCAGGACAGTGATATGCAGAATAATGACATTTTTACATTCCAAAAATTAAATCTTGCACCAAAACAACTCAAATCCATCCTATTCTAGCAAAAATTGGCAATCAAATTCATTGCAAATGCAAAACTGCATGCGGAATTCTAGCAGAAACATTTAATCTGGGGATGTTAACAGAACCCCAGGGCCAGCAGTTTTTCTCGGACCCATCCAACATACAAGGAACATAGAACTAAATGACTTAAGATAGAGGAACCTCTTTTCCTTAAATCTCTCCTTCAAACTATTATTGTAGCAACCAACTCTCCATCACATACTACATTTAACTTGGTAACTGTGTAGTCGAAGTTATTAAACTCCCATAATCAGTATGAAAGTTCCAAATTAAATTCAGCAAGAAAATAGGTCTGATCCGATTCCACCTCTTAAAATGCCATTTCTTGCTAACACGTACACTGTTACTAATGTAAAATTTATAACAATGAAAGGAAACATACCTGTACAAGAAAAGCCATATCAACCACCAATGTAGTAATTACACCAACGACAAGCCCCAAAACTCCATTGGCAACCGTGGAAGAACCGATATCAACATCAATCTACAAATTGAAGCCAATGATTTTATCAATCATAGCAGAAAAGGAAGACAGCATTCACCATTCATTATAAAGAAACTTCCTACAATCAGAAAGAGAATAATTTATTGAGAGATTTAATGAACATTTACTTCTAAATACTTAGCACCACGAATATAGTTGCAATCAACAGCCTTTCCCAGTAAACAAGGAGTGCTCCCAACACTTTGGCGCACAATCCATGAGCCCTGCATATTTTGGGTCAGAAAATCAACGTATACCTTTGTAGCCTTTTGAGTCAGAACAGTAGTCATAACTAACAAGATACAAGGAAACATGACGATTGACATAAAATAAATTGAAACTATTAAGAAAAAGTTAAAATTGTTTTAAAAAACTGAGAAAGGAAAACAGAAAATTATTGAACAAAATAGGAGAGAGAATTGATGCAAAACCGGAAAAAACAAAAAGGCGTCCTCCTACACCATCTGGTGGATTGAACTGGTATTTTGGCATTTTGCTGGTAAGGTGACAAACACTCTAACCATCAAATCCCCAAATGCATCCATGAAGGCACACCCCCCCCCCAAAAAAAAAAAAAAAAAAACTAAAAAACCCCAAAGAGAGGGGGTGGATCACCACTTCAGAAATATAGAAAAATGATCAACTGATGGTCGCATACAAACACAGCGCATACAGAAATTTACACAAACCAGGCGCAAAAGAGAGGCACCCCAGAATATGCATGCAGATAAGCATCTGAATGCTTCTGTAAGCAAGCACATCAGTGATGATTCTGATGGACCACAAGGGTAAAGCTTGACAAATCTACAACTTACAAAAGCAATTGGGCAAAGGCCATAAGGGCTCAACAGCACTAGAGTCCTAAACAAGAATTTTCCGATGCACTGGTGACAAAAGTTAGTAAATACCTTTGGCACTGATGGAATGAGCTTCAATCTGCTATTACGGAACTCATCATCACCATCAACAAAGCGTTGCAAGAGAGACCCAGGGACCAATGCCTTTGTCACAAAATAGAATACCATACTATAGTGTGTTGATCCGGGCACCTACAAGTCAAACAATGGGTTTGTGATAGAGCTGCTGATTTGCCAAGGCCTAGAGGATCAAATTAAGAAGATAATGACAGACGGGGGAAAAACAAAAACTGCCAGGTCAAAGGTTATTCTTTGGGTCCTGGCTGTAAGGGAAAAAGAAGGGGGGGGGGGAGTCCTCCATGTCTGCCAGAAGGGGAGGGGAGTATTTTGAATATTGAGAGTGGTGAGGAGAGTTCTGGCCTCTCAAAAGTCCAGTGTATTGGGGTAGAGGAAGTCATCTTTCTTCATCATTTTATCTTCTGCTTAGTCTATGATGTGAGTGAGTAATATATATTTTGTGTTGTTGTTTGGTGGAGTGAATTTGTTGCTGTTTCATGTACTTTCAGTTCCTTATTTTGCTTGTAATCCAGCTGTTATTATTTTCAGTCCCATTTGTAGTGTATTTTTCTGGTTTTTGCTTGTTTAAAGCTTATCAGAATAGAGGGTTCCATCAGTTTGTTTACTTCAAAAATCAATATTGTCCAGCTTTGAAGTTGACTCAGAAGAAGAAACTCACTTGAAGATTAAAGATAATCGAGAACAGTCCTTTTTCTGATGCAACCTACATAAATTCCAAAAGAGAACAATGAATTGTATCCTCCAAAGTAATAAACAATCAATCAACTCAATAAATTATTTAAAAATGAGAAAAAGCACTGCTAAAAATCTATGCGAATATACACAGGCCTACAGCAGGTCTCTATACTTTCTAAGAATCTTCGTCAAGTAACAGAATACATATAAGATTCAAAGGTCATACTCAAATTCTTGGTATCCAAAATCCACATGCAAAGTGATTTCTGATGAATATCAAAACAAAACTTCCGCATCTTACATATACCACCTTAACTAGGGTTAAAAATTATAAATGGCCCCAGTACAAATTTGCAAGGTTGTCAACTAAGCAAGCCAAAGTGGTTATAAAATACAACCTTTCTTTAAAAGATCATTGGAAGCCAAGAACAAGGAACAATAGTTCATCAAGCAGTTTCTTGATATTCAAACTGAAGCATGAGGCATAGAAAATAAGATTTAGCTTTATAATACTCACCTGCGCTGCACATCCCTGGCACTTAGCCACATGATCCATTCTTTTTGTGTCCTTGAACCAATCAACAGCGACAAGATCCATCAGGTGCTTTCCTGCAGTAATCTATATACAGTTTGCCACAAAGAAATAAGAACATACAAACATGGTAATAGATTTCAAGTCAAAAGGCAAAACAGGAAAACAGGAAAGGACCTTTGACTTGTCAAAACAAAATTGCTTGCTTCGGATGCTAAAGTTATTTCCATCCGAAATTTTCCAGCAATCACGTGCATTATCACGATCATCACGACGTAAATTACCCGAAAAGCAAGACAAGTCAATTTCCGTTGCTGGTTCTTCTTCCACAACAGCTTCAGTTTAAAGGGAAAAAAAAAAAAGATTAGATTTCCTCTAATCTCTGCTGTTAGTTTGTCTGTATGATTTGTCATTATAATAATTCCAAAAAAGAAATTATAGCAAGCAGCCACCTGTTCTTTTGACATCATTCTCAATCCCATTTGAGTATACCTGAAAATATTCATGCTTAGAATTTATGTAGCTTGTACCAAAATTATAGAGGTCAGATTGGTGGGAATACAAAAACGACCTCTTGTTCAGATTCTGCAATTTGAAAATCTTCATCTTCATCAGAGTATTCATCCAACATGACAGAGTTTCTACTGGCAGCATTCATTTGATCCACAGAGGTTGGATGAACAGAAGAATCATGGCCCTTGGGAGTGTTCTTTGAAGAAATGGTTGTTGAGGACATGTTAGCCATAACAGGGATACGTGGAGGAGCATTCCTTTCATCTGTTTGGGAAAACCATTCACGTAAACCTGTTCAAAAAGAAGAAGAAAAGAAAGAAAAAGACCGTATCAATATTATGCAGGACAAGCAATATTTGCATGTTGAAAGGTCATATAGTGGAATGTGTAGAATCAAAACATATCCAGGATAACATTACCATGAAAATATAGGGGCAATAGGAAGTATAAGTCGCCCAAGTCTTAAACTTAAGCCCCAGTACTATTGACTACGGACAAAAACATCTGCAGATCTATTCTCGTGATAAGGAAGGAATTTATGCTTTTATAGAAAACAAAAACCTATGATTAATCCAAATCAACCAGATTTTCTTAGCATACTATGTAAGTAAATTCAATTTGAGTGAAAAACTAGAACCAACCATTT